GAGTCTGTGCGCACTGACACCGCCCGAATAAAACTGGCAGAAGGGCACCCGCACTTTGGGCGTCAGGAACGGAGTGGGGGAAGCCACAGCCCCGTAGCGCTGGCACCGGCTGGCATGAGGTGGGAGACGCGCAGCACACCGGGAGCGTCGGCACCGGCCGGCGTGGCACTGGCCGCCTGGGCGTTGTCGCTTCGGGAGGTGAGGAGCTGCTCCTCCAGCAGCGAACCCAAATATTGCGTGTGAGGTCGCCCGTGGCTTCAGCTGCCGGGGCGCCTTTCTCCCAGCTCCCCAGGCATCCGGGGTGAGACCTGCCCTTGGGCACCTCGTAGGGGTCTGCTGTGTGCACCTGCCGGGGTTACTCTCCCTCACCCCGCTTCTGCCCCCAGAGCCTAGCACCTAACAGGTGCTCAGTAATTGTCGAAAGAGTTCGTTGTGAGTCGTGTCGTCGGGCTAAATTGTAGCGTGGGCAAACACATAAAAACTAGAAACTGTGGGATCATTGGGAAACGGACCAAGTGGTGAGCATGGTGATGCTCACATGAAAGATAATCAATGTCAGCTGCAATTATTACGTCTGTATAGTTGCTGTTAATCGTGTGTAGACAGATAGGTTTAGGGTTATATGCCAAGTTAGAGATAGCAGTTATCTGGACCTTCATTAAGCTAAAAGAATAGTGATAAGAAGGGAGTGTAACAAGCAGACGTGTGTAGGTACGTCTGTGGAAAGACATTTCAGTGTGTCTTCCCCAAAGAACATGTTAACATTTTGCTTAATTTTCATTACAAATAAGTACTATCAATTCAGCAAACAGACATAATCTGAAATGTTCTGTGCTGATTTACTCACTTATATAACATCTCTTCTAGGAAGGAAGAATAGGAGGCACCAAGGATGCTCGTTTCATCCAAAAGAAACAAAAAGGACAAGTGTCCCGCCACATTACGCCCACTAGCAGCAAAGTGATGGTTTGGTGAGTCTGAATGAAGAGACCCCTCTGGGACAACACAAGGAGAGCCCAGAGTCTCCGCCCTGGCATTTTAGCTCTTTGTCTCGGGTCTGAAAACTGCTCTTGGGAGCAATGTGTTTGTCCACGTGAAACAATTTATCTCTGCCGTTTGACAAGTGGGGAAATGTAATCTTCTCTGTGTGCCGAGCATGAGTGAGTCGTTCACGCATAGTGAATGGCTGTTCTCCAAACTGTGGGGCAAGAGACGTGAAATATGCATTTTAATATCATTGTCCGTTGCACAGTAATGTGCAATGTAAATAGGACTGGCTGTCTGGGCGCCCTCCATTGCGCCTATCTCATGTGGTGTGGTTACCCTGTCAGAGTGCTGCTGTCAGAGAATGTGTTCGTCCTCCTCTTTGCCCCATAGGGAAGACTCCTAGATAAACAGCTGGCTCAGATAGGTGTCAGTCAGCAGAAAATAACTGTATAGAACTCAGAGGTTAGGAAGTTCGTCAGGTCATTCTGTTTTAAGACTTTTTTTCCCCCCTTGGGAAAAAAACTTCACTGCCTGTGGTTAGACACCCAAAGCTGAAACTGGGTGGCCAGGCCAAGCAGTGCTTAAATGTGTGGTGGCCCTGGCGTACATGGGTGCAGAAGTGCTGCATGAAACAAGAAAGAGTCCTTCCTGCCTTGTTTGGAATATTTAGATCGAATTTTCAAAAATATTGTGCCGGCTAAAGTTATCCGTCATGGCACCCAGTTTTGACTTGGGCCTCCGTGGAAGCGGGGAGGCAACTTAGACGATTAAACACCGTTTTATCCCTGCTCCACCCTTTCCGCTCCCAAGGGCAGGTAACATCAGGGCCAGTGATCATGCGTGCAGCCTGTCTTCCAGAGGTAAACGCTAGTCATGTCAGAGGAACCCACTAGCCATGACTTCTACATGATGGGGCCTCCTCGGCGGCCAGGGGACCTTCTCCCTCGCCTGGGCTCCTCCTTTTGAGGGAAGGTCTGACCCGTTCATACGTACACACACACTTTCTCTCTCTCTCTGTGTGTGTGTCTTTCTCATTGTCTATTTATAGATCTATCTAATTCTCTTCTCCTTTTCTCTTTCTCGTTCCTCATAGGCTCAAGCCTGTCCAGCTGGGAAGATGAGACAGGCCTGAGGCTATCCTCACCCAACACCCAGAAATTAGAAGTCCTGCTTTCTTCATTCTTGCGTCAGACTGATCTGGGAACACATTTCTTCGCTAGCAAAGAGCTGAGATCCACGGTGCAGGCATAGACTTGGAGGAAGGAAGTGACAGGCTCTTTGGGTGGCTTGGTTCTAGTCGTGAGCCACGCTGGCAGGCTCATGAGAATCATCTAGGGATTCTTTTACGTTCACTAATAAAAACAAACAACAGGTGGCTCTCCCTGTCCTTGTTTGTCATAGTCTGCCTTTGTTCTCTCACGCGACTGTAACAAAAGTACCAAAGACTGAGTAATTGATAGACAGTTATTTCTCACAGTTCTCGAGTCTGGGAGACCAAGCTCAAGAAATCAGCAGGTTTGGTTGTCGGGTGAGGGCTGCTGTCTGCTTCCAAGATGGTGTCTTGTGGCTGCATCCTCTGAAGGGGACAGATGCTCTATCCTCGCATGGCAGAAAGCAGAAGGGCACAAGGCAGAACACTGTGTGAAACCTCTTTGATGAGGACTCAGGGCCTGATGGCCTCTTTTTTACATATCTTTTATTTTAAAATTGTGGGGTACAGTTAAGGGTTAGGTATACAAATATGCATTGTGCAGTTACCCTTGTTGATGAGGTGTGACCTCCATCCCCAGACAGATATTGACTACTGTTAATCCCACCTCCCTTCCCCTCCCTGCCCCCCCAATAGATTCCCGCCACTGTCAATCCTTTTCTTATAATATTATGGTAGTTGTTCAAGGTCCACTTATGAGTGAGAACATGTGATACCCAGAAACTCCAGCAAAGGGTGGAGACCTTTGTTTCTGAGAGAGATCACTCAGTATTATAAACTCCGATTCCATCCAGGTTGCTGCGAAATTCATGATTTTGTTCTTTTTTATGGCTGCGAAATATTCCATCGTGTATATGTACCACTTTTTAAAAAATCCATTCCCCTTTTAATGGACAGCAGGGTTGGTTCCATGATCTTGCTATTGTGAACAATGCTGCAATAAACATACGTGGCCCCACCTCTTAATACCATTCCATTGAGCTCGCACTTCTAAATTTCGGAAGGGACTCATTCAAACGCAGCACTCCTCTCACTCTGAGCACACTGTCTCTGCTCTATCTGAAGTCGCCCTCCACTTGCGCACTGCATCTCACATCCTCTCACTGATGCAGGGACACCACTGTATAAATGCTCCCCTTTCTTTTTGATCACCAGTTTTCCTCGGTGCTGGTTCAGAAACATGGTTTAATGCCTCCGATCTTTAAGAAACCAAACAAAATACCTTTGGTTCCCTTCTCCTCCAGATTCTGCCTTAACTCTCTTCTCCCCCTCACAAGGAAACCTGATGAGACAGAACCCGCCTCCTGCCCTGTCTCCACGTCCTCTCCTCCCATTCTCTCTCTAACCCATCCATCATCACTCCATGGAAACTGCTCTGGTCAAGGTCAGCAGAGACCTCCATTTGTAAATCTAATGACCAGTTCTCCCCCTTTGTCTTACTTGATCTATCCAGCATTCAACACAATTACTCACTCCTTTCTTCCTGGGAAAAAAAATTCCCCACATGCCTCCCAGGATACTTCTGGTTTTCATTCTGCCTTACTGGCTGTTCAGATAACAATAAATGCTGGCTGCTCAAAATAACACCGCAAACGGCATATGCAATGAAAAGCACTACAGTCGTTTCCACCAAATTCAAGAACAAGACAAATGCGTGCTAACACCACTATGATTAACATTGTTTTAGAAAGTAAAATAAAAGTAAGAGCCATCTACGAGAAACTCACAGCCAACATACAGCTAAATAGACAGAAATTGGAGCCATTTCCCCTGAAAACCAGAACAAGGCAAGGATGCCCACTCTTACCTCTCCTTTTCAACATGATTTTGGAAGTCCTAGCTAGAGCAATCACACAAAAGAAGGAGATCAGAGGTATCCAAACAGGAAAAAAGGAAGTCAAGTTATCCCTCTTTGCAGATGACATGAGACGACCTTGAAAACCCAAGAGAACCTGTCAAAAAACTTTTTGCACTGATAAAAGACTTTGGCAAAGTCACAGGGTATAAAATAAATGTGCAAAGACAGTCACATTTCTACACACCAATAATAGACAAACAGAAACCCAAATAAAAAGCACAATCTCATTCACAATAGCCACAAAAAAATGAAATACCTTGGCATTTTCCTAACCAGAGACGTGAAAGACCTTTACAATGAAAACTACAAAACACTGCTCAAAGCAATCAAAGACGACACAAACAAATGAAAAAATATTCCATGCTCATAGATTGAGAGAATCAACATTGTTAAGATGTCCATCAGCCAGGCTCGGTGACTTAGCCTGTAATCCCGCGCCTTTGGGAGGCTGAGGTGAGTGGATTGCCTGAACTGGCGAGTTCGAGACCCACCTGGGCAGCGAGACCTCATCTCTACAATAAATCAAAAAATCAGCCGGGCGTGGTAGCGCATGCCTGTAATTCTGGCTACTTGGAAAGCTGAGGCGGAAGGATCGCCGGAGCCCAGCAGGTCGAGACTGCGGTGGCCAGGAGCGGCCACTGCACTCCAGTCTGGGCGACAGAGTGAGACTCAAAAAAAAGATGTCCATCCTCTCCAAGACAGTTTACAGATTTAACGCAATGCCTATTAAATTACCAGCAGCATTCTTCTCAGACCTGGAAATGACAATACAGGAATTCATGCGGAAACATGAATGACCACAGATAGCCAAAACAATCCTCAGCAAAAAAAAAAAAAAAAAGAAAGAAAGAAAGAAAAAGTGGGAGGTAACACACTCCCAGACTTTAAACTTTACTATAAAGCTACAATAATCAAAACAACCTGATGTTGGTCAAGAACAGGCATATAGACCAGTGGAACAGGATAGAGATTCCAGAAGCAAACCTAAATTTCTCAACCTGTTCATCTTCAACAAAACCTCCACCACCAACCTCTGGGGAGGGAGAACCTGTTCAGTAAATGGTGCTGGGAAAACTAGTTGATCATATGAAGAAGATTAAAACAAGACCCCTACCTATCACCATACACAAAAGTCAACTCTAAATGGATCAAAGAGCTAAACGTAAAACCTCAAACTATAAGAACCTTAGAAAGTGCAGGAGGCACCCTTATGGAAATTGGAACTGGCAACAAATTCCTGATCAAAACTCCAAGTGCCCATGCCATAAGCGATAAGATAGACAAGTGGGAACTCATCAACCTGAAAAACTTCTGCAAAGCCAAAGAAACCATCAAGAGAGCAGGGAGAGAGTCTACAGACTGGGGAAAAAATATTTGTCAACTGTGTATCTAACAAAGGCCTAACATCTAAGATCTACAAGGAACTCAAATGTGCCGAAAGGAAAAAAATAAACAACCCTATTACAAAGTGGGCAAAAGACATGAATAGACACTTCTCAAAAGAAGGTGTACTGGCAGCCAACAGACACATGAAAAAATGCTCAGTCTCACTAGTAATCAAAGAAATGCAAATCAAAACCACATTGAGCACCTAACTCCAATCAGAATAGCCATCATCAATAACAAAAACCAGCAGATGCTGGAGAGGGTGCGGAGAAAAGGGAACACTTCTACACTGTTGATGGGAGTGTAAACTAATACAACCTCTGTGGAAAACAGTTTGGCGATTCCTAAAAGATCTAAAAATCGGCCAGGCTTGGTGGCTTAACCTGTAATCCCAGCATTTTGGGAGGTCAAGGTGAGTGGATTGCCTAAACCTGTGGATTTGAGTCCAGCCCGTGCAACTTGGCAAAACCTCGTTTTTACAATAAATTAAAAATTAGGCCAGACTCGGTGGCTCAGCCTATAATTCCGCGTTTTGGGAGGCTGATATGAGTGGATTGCCTGAGCCTGTGGGTTCGAGACCCGTCTGAGCAACTTGGCAAGACCTCATCTCTACAATAAATTAAAAAATCAACCTGGTGTGGTAGCGCATGCCTGTAATTCCAGTTACTTGGAAGGCTGAGGCGGAAGGATCGCTGGAGCCCAGCGGGTCGAGGTTACGGTGGCCGGGAGTGGTCACTGTACTCCAGTCTGGGCGACAGAGTGAGATTCCAACTCAAAAAAAAAAAAAAAAAATTAGCCAGATGTAGTTCTGGTTCCTTGGAAGACTGAGGCAGAAGGATCGCCGGAGCCCAGCAGGCTGAGGCTGGGGTGGCCTTGAGTGTGCCACTGCACTCCAGCCTGGGCAACAGGGTGAGACTCCAACAACAACAACAAAAATCTAAACATTGATCTTCCTTACAACCCCACAATCCCCCTACTGGGAATATACCCAGAGGAACTCAAATCACTCTATGGAAAACATACCTGCACATGTATGTTGATTGCAGCCTTGTTCACAACAGCAAAAACATGGAACCAACTGTGTTGCCCATAGAGAAAGGACTGGATTAAAAAAATGTGGTACCTATGCACAATGGAATATTATGCAGCCATAAAGTTCCTAAATTATGAACTTCACAGCAACATGGATGAACTTAGAGTTTACGATACTGAGTGATCTGTCACAGAAACAAAGAATTGAGCATCACATGTTCTCACTCATAAATAGACCTTGATTATTTGTCGTAATACTATAAGAAAAGAATTGACAGTAGTGGAATCTGCCAGGGGAGGGAGGCCACACCTCATCAACAAGGGCACCTGCATAATGAACATTTATATACCTAACCCAGAATTGTATTCCACATCTTCAAATAAAAAATTTAGGCTGGACTCGGTGACTCAGCCTGTAATCCCAGCACTTTGTGAGGCTGAGGCAAGTGGATTGCCTGAGCCCGTGGGTTCAAGACCAGCCTGGCAACTTGGCAAGACCTCATCTCTACAATAATTTTTTAAAAATTAGCCAGGCGTGGGAGTGCATACCTGTAGTTGTGGTTACTTGGAAGGCTGATGCAGAAGGATCACCTGAGCCCAGCAAGTCGACTCTGGACTCCAGCCTGGGCGATGAAGTGAGACTCTAATTCAAAAAAAATAAATAAATTTTCTAAAAAAGTAAAATAAAGCAGTAAGATATGAAAATGAAATAGTAGATATAAATATTGAAAAGGAAGAAACCAAAAAGATTTGTAGATACTATAATTTACAGCTAAAAACCTTAAGACTGTAGCTCTTTAAAAAAAAACTGTTAGAATTAATATGAGAATGTGATAATGTGGGCTAGAAATAATAAGTAAAACCAAAATCTGTTTTGTTTAAAGTACTGTAAAATGTGTAA